TTAAGCAAACATTATTTCTTTTTATTCAATTATTAAACAATTTCATTTTTTGTATACTTCAATTTTACAGTGCTTAAAATGATTTAATTCTTAAAACAATACAAACACAAAATGGAGTGTAATTTAGTACAAGCGTTTGGAGGTATATTATTGTGTTTTGTTATTTGTGTGTGAGTTTAACTCAAGGCACATGTTGTTCATTGACACACACACACACACACACACACACACACACTCACGACAGAAACAACGAAGCACTTTGGTTTGGTGCCAATAAAACAGTGATCCTGCTCAAAACTCACAGTGTATCGCTGAAGGCAACAGATCGTCTTGGCCGTAAAAGATCTATTATTGCATCAAGTAAACAAATACACTCACAAATCTTTGTTTGGTGTGAAAATTCGACATTTTTCTGGAGTGGATAAAAACATTCCAGTGCATCATAAGGAAAAAGACTGAGGAAAAGCACTGGAATGTCAATAGAGTTTTCAGCTTAGAGAGGCAACGTTCAGGAACTCCACCTGTTACATCCACCTTTATCGTTTAGGCGGGAAAACTACAAATATTGTTGGAGTAGCGAATCACTTCCTAAATCATTCTTGTCAGCAAAAATCTGTGGGAATAGCACCGGAATGTCACGAGTTCTAAACTCAAAGCAGCAACATTCTGGAATTCCAGGAACTCCAAGTGTTACAATCGAGGAAAGATGGAGGGAAGGAACAGAAGTAGTGCAAAGGTGAAGCGTAATCGGGCGGACATCTTTCTCACGATCCGTAGCGTTCTCATTCTTCCGAAGTTAAACATATGAAGTGCTCAAAACAATCAAGAAAAAAAAGTGTTTTATCGTCAGGATTACCTTCGGAACCGTCAGGAATGCGATATCGTCCCAGAGGTCAAAGGTCAGTGGTGATGACGGGCGTGACCCCGTGTATGAGCAGGGTCGGACCCAGGTCGCGCGTGAGCAGCTCTAGCTGGCGCAGGTAGTCATGGTAACGACTGGTATCCGCGGGTGGGCGGGGCAAATACAGGAAGCGCACGGCGGGTGGGCGGAGCTGCTGATCCAGGATGAGCTTGTTTACGGCTTGTAAATACTCGTCCGATACTCGCGAGGTGTTGCTTTGGAAACTATTGGCGAAGAAGTTTTCGCCTTCCGCCTCTTCCGTTTCCGTCTTCTCCGATCGCGTCTGGCGCTGCCAGTGAAGCGTGACCTGGGAATCCCAGGGAACCGTACAGATATCGGCCTTCATCCGAAGGTCCTTCAGGAGGTGTCCGAGTTTCTGCTCCGTCCCCTTGAGGCTTCGCCCCGCCTCCACGCACAGGAAGAGGCGGAGCCTAGCTTTCTGCCACGCCCTCGTCATGTTGAGAATGCACGCGAGCTGAAGCAGGAACAGCGAGCACGTGTCGACGTACGCCGCGCTGTCGGGTCGAAGGAGGTTAACGGGCCAGACGTCGACGAACACGGGCCCTTGGAGAGCGTGAGTCCGGTCGAACTGATCGAAATATCGAGCTAACGCGACGTTCTTTAGCATCTTAACCGCGTCTGCGATGATGCACACGTACTCCCGAGGCCCTAGAGATTTCCCGTCAGAGGCCCCGCCCCCTCGCACGGGAGGGAAGTGGAAGGGCGGGTCGTTCTGGTCTTCGGGGTCGTCGAGCTGAGCGGAGCCGTCGTTACTCAGAGACAGGGTGGAGTCCAGGAGCCGGTCCTGAGGAAGAGAGTCGTCATAGAAACCCAGAACCACAGTGTTGGGTCTCATGCCCCCTGTGCCGGACAAAATACAAACAAACGCATAAAGAAAAGTAAAAAAAATACAGATGCTGTCAAAGCAATTAATCACATCTAACATTAATGTTTGTCAATGTATACTTGTATGAGTGTGTGTGTGCGTGCATATATATATATATATATATGTGTATATATACATACAAATACACACATTTTTATTTATTTCAAACCTTTATGTTAGATGCGATTAATCGATTTGACAGCACTATTATATACTGTATGAATATATATATAAAATAAAAGTATAACAAATTTGTAATATATTTGATAATTTTGAATACAACAAATCTTACCTAAACTTCTCCACAGTGTGATATCTGCTGTTACTTCGATATAAGATAACTCAGCGTGTGTGTGTGTGTGTGTGTGTGTGTGTGTGTGGCTCACCGAGGCCTGAGATGAACAGCATGTGTTGAACTCCGTGTCTGATAGAGTCTGCCAGCGTGAGATTCACAAACGCTTTAATATTCAGATGATCCACCAGAGACAACCAGGAGTCATACTGAGACTGCAGCGGATCCGACGGGAGGACGTCTGGAGAGAGAGTGTGAGTGAGCGAGAGAGAGAGAGAAAGTTTGTTTTCTGATATATACATGTATTTCATGCATTTGTTTACCGATTCATCAACTGATAATTTGTTCATTGCCTATGTAATGGCCAATGCTTTGGCAATACTGTATAAGTCATGCCAATAAAGCTCATTTGAATTGAATTGAATTGAGAGAGTGTGTGTGTGTGTGTGTGTGAGAGAGAGAGAGCACACTCTGCCAGCTAAAATCTAAAAATCTAAAAACACCTGGCATACTCTTAACCTGGCATACACACAGATCATTATAATATTCAAATCAGTTCAGTGATTATTAGGCTGCATAGATGAGGGTTGGGCAAACGTGAATCTTTCCATTTATTCCAAGGTTTACTGAAGTCAGCCGGATCCGGGCCGTATCCAGAGCAGATGTTGGACCTGCATATCCAGATCACTCCTCAACAAACTCGTCCTCATCCCGGTGTGACTACGATCTTCAACCAGACCGAACTGGATAATGTTCTGATCCATTCTGACCTGTAATTCTGCCTGGATCATAATCACACACGGTTCGCTCGTTGGCCAGAGGAGGACTGGTTTATTTCTCCATTCGGTCACTGTCGCCTTTTTCTCCTTTGTCGCCATTGGTTTGCTTAGTCGGGACCTTTAATTTAATATTCTACAATATTATTGATCTCCTGCATTGACACCATTATATGAGAAGAACTGAACTGAGCTGGTCGATGACATCACTGTTTTCTCCAGAGCCGATATATATATATATCAATGAACTCAATTATTTATTTATTTCTACGACAGAATTGAAGCCTCACTGAACTTAACTCTGCTCCTGTAATCTGTGTAAAGCAGCTGTACTGTATAAAGTGCCCGCTGTGTAAATAAAGCGGACTGGTACTGGTACTGGTACTGGTCTATGGACTGACCCAGGTCTCCGAGCTGCACGTGTCCCAGCACATACAGGCCGCTCTTCTTGATGTCGTTGATGAACGTGATCAATCCCACACTGCACCTGGGGTTGGACAGCATCAGCAGCACTTGAGGCCTCCAGAACTTCACGTGATCTTTACGCACGTCCAGCATCAGCAGGTATTTACGCACCTGCACACACACACACACACACACACACACACGATTAGCATCTCCATAAACTAAACTGCCATAGAGCTGAAACAAAAAAAGATATATAAATATTGTGGGTGTGTGTGTGTCTCTGTGTGTTTAAGTGTGTGTGTGTTTAAGTGAGTCTCCTAGTGAGTTAGTGAAGGCGGTGTTATATTTTTTCACTATTTTACACACACTCTCTCTCTCTCTCTCTCTCACACACACACACACCTGGTGGAAGATGAGTGCCTGGGTGATGCAGCCCCAGCTGCTGGCGGGACTGAGGTAGTGGATGAGGAGCAGCAGGAGCAGCATGAAGGCGATGCTGGCCGACGCGTAGATGGAGTTGATCAGGAACATCATCACAGCGCAGCCGATGATCCCCAGAACACACGTGTGCCACGTGAAGTACCTGAACGTCGGCCTGCAGAGACACACACAGAGAGAGAGAGAGAGAGAGAGAGGATCAGAGAGGGTTTGGTGCGGATCAGAGTTCGTTTGGATGTTCATGCGGTTTCAACATTAGTTCTGCACCTACAATCAATTCAGAATAAACGGACATTTGAAAAACTACTGGTCTGGTATATTTCTGGAAAAGCCTCATTAACTTACACGATTTTACAAGGAAGGGAGGAAGGAATGGAGGACAACAGGAAGAAAGGAAGGGAGATAGTAATGAAGGAAGTAAGGAAGAAAGGAAGAAAGAAAGAAAGTAATGGAGGAAGGAAGAAAGGAACGGAGGAAGTAACTGAGGAAGGAAGGAAGTAACAGAGGACAGAAGGAAGGAATGGAGGAAGGGAGGAAGTAACAGAGGACAGAAGGAAGGAATGGACGAAGGAATGGAGGAAGGGAGGAAGTAACTGAGGAAGGAAGGAAGAAAGGAACAGAGGAAGGAAGGAAGGAATGGAGGAAGGAAGGAATGAGGAAGGAAGGAAGGAAGGAACGAATGGAGGAAGTAACTGAGGAAGGAAGAAAGGAATAGAGGAAGGAAGGAAGTAACAGAGGACAAAAGTAATGGAGGAAGGGAGGAAGGAAGGAAGAAAGGAATAGAGGAAGGAAGGAATGAAGGAAGGGAGGAAGTAATGGAGGAAGGGAGGAAGTAACTGAGGAAGGAAGGAAGAAAGGAACAGAGGAAGGAAGGAAGGAATGGAGGAAGGAAGGAATGAGGAAGGAAGGAAGGAAGGAACGAATGGAGGAAGTAACTGAGGAAGGAAGAAAGGAATAGAGGAAGGAAGGAAGGAAGGAAGGAATGGAGGAAGGGAGGAAGTAACTGAGGAAGGAAGGAAGAAAGGAACAGAGGAAGGAAGGAAGGAAGGAAGGAAGGAATGGAGGAAGGAAGGAAGGAATGAGGAAGGAATGAATGGAGGAAGTAACTGAGGAAGGAAGAAATGAATAGAGGAAGGAAGGAAGGAAGGAATGGATGAAGGGAGGAAGTAACTGAGGAAGGAAGAAAGGAATAGAGGAAGGAATGGAGGAAGGAAGTAATGGAGGAAAGGAGGAAGTAACTGAGGAAGGAAGAAAGGAACGAAGGAAGGAAGGAATGGAGGGAGGAAGTGAGGGAGGAAAAAAGTAAGGAAGGAGGGGAGAAATTAGCACTTGAGCATCACAGATGTGGGAAACACGTTGATTAGCAGAACTGAACAGTTATTGATGTGTAATGTGCCGACTGTAGTGTCTGCATGTACAGCAGCACTTCCTCTCTCATCCTCACTGAGGCTCTGTTGATCTGACACACCAGCAGAGAGAGAGAGACGCAAACACGTCCAAACCCCACTCATTATCTACTTACAGGAGTATTACAGACTAAATATTGCCAGACATCTGCTTGTTCTTCTATTGCACAAATATGCGAGCAACACACAAGCAAACAGCAGTGTGTGTTTGATCAGTAATCACATCACACACACACACACACACATTCTGACGTCTCTAAAAGCACCTCTTGTCTCTGTCTTTTTATGTTCCAGCTTCATTAGCAGCTCGAGTCGTTTAGAGATGTAACTCCGGGTCAAAGTTCAGCCGTGTGTGTAAATAACAATGAGCATTTCTGTGTGTTTGGACCATTGAGTGTGTGTCTGTGGGTTTAAATGTGTGTTTGTGAGTCATTATAACAGCAATTACGAGTTTGTCTTTAATGGATTTTCATCTTGCGGAGAGGGAAGTGTGTGTGTGTGTGTGTGTGTGTGAGAGAGAGAGAGTGTGTGTGTGTGAGTGAGTTTTTAAATGGCTCTTATTGAGTTCAGTGTGTGTGTGTGTGTGTGTGTGTGTGTGTGTGTTTGTGTGTGTGCTAAATCAATGTATGCATCCAAACAGCAGACGAGAGTCATACAAAAACATGTCTATGTAAAATTTCACCTAGAAATCAAAAGAAATGCATAATTATAGTTTTGTATAAGGAAAATGAAGACTCTATTTTTAATAGTTTGATCGTCAAAACCGGGTCGTGTATCGAATCCTGTCTTAGACCTCGTCAGTATCCGGGAATCCTCCATGCGTTACATCATATTACATGTGTGTGTTTGGCGACGCTTTTATCCACAGTGACTCGCACTCCAGATTTACATTATTAGCAGTCCGCGCTTTCCCTAGGACTCGAACCCATGACCTTGGCGTTGCAAGTGCCAGCGCTCTCCTGTCTGCGCTGCACACTCTGTCTCTCATCTATCTCACACACACAGTCACACACTGATAGTCAGACACAGACACACACACTCTCTCACACACACACTTCAGTTTTCCCCTCAGTCTCTTTCACACTCAATTCCTCTTTTCTTTTCATTTATCTGCCAGTTCCCTCGCATCTGTTTCGCCCTGTTTCTCTTTCTCCTTTTTTACTTCAGCACACACACACACACACACACACTCTCTCTCTCTCTCTCTCTCTCGTCCTCCAGTGTCGCTCTCAGCAGCAATTATGTTAAAAGCCAGCGGATCTGCACTCAAAGTGATGTCACCCTGCTCAAGTCAGCAAAAAGCAAACTTCCCGCTGCCAAAATGACCCGTGCGACACACACACACACACACACACACTCTTACGTACTCCTGTATTCACTCACACACACATACACACTCTCTCTCTCGCTCTCTCTCTCTTATTTTTTCTCAAAAGTTTCATCTTATTAATTCCAGACACACTGGATCTCTTGGACTCAGATTCGTCTGCTTCTACTTAGACAGGAACGCTGCCAAACAACAAAGCGCATCATCTGAGACTCAGTCCAACTCGAACCGCTGGAGGGAACGTGAAAGCCTTTATCCTTGAGCAGTAAAAGCCAGGAAACACCGTCGCATTCAGAGATCACAGAACGTTTGTGTTAAACATGGATTAGAAACACATCAGGATCACTTCATTAGTGCTCAACTGATAATGTCTGGAACTGGACTAAACAGACATTCAACAAACCCGATGTGAATCCAGTTCCTCATTGATACTTGCGCTCCCTCTAATGAATCTGTACATTTATTGAGCTCGCTCGCTCGTACTCTCCTTCAGTTCAGGCACACAGAAGCTGCTAACGTCCTTCTGTGAGACAATGAACTCGGCAAACGTCAGAATAAACGCATTAGAGACTAGAAATTCATCCCACACAGATCCTGTTCCAATAAACAGAAAATCTCATAAAGCATAACAATAGAATTTATAGTATAACAAGGAAGGTCACGGAATCTTTTGGATTCATAAATCAAAAGAGGAACTGTACACTGATCTCTTTCTCTCTCTCTTTCACTCACTCACTCACTCACTGACTCACTCAATCACTCATTCACTCACTGACTCACTCACTCACTCACTCACTCACTGACTCACTCACTCACTCACTCACTCACTCACTCACTCACTGACTGACTCACTCACTCACTGACTCACTCACTCACTCACTCACTCACTCACTCACTGACTCACTCACTCAATCACTCAGTCACTCACTCACTCACTCACTCACTCACTGACTGACTCACTCACTCACTCACTGACTCACTCACTCACTCACTCACTCACTCAATCACTCAGTCACTCACTCACTCACTCAATCACTCAGTCAGTCACTCACTCACTCACTGACTCACTCAATCACTCAGTCACTCACTCACTCACTGACTCACTCAATCACTCAGTCACTCACTCACTCACTCACTCACTCACTGACTGACTCACTCACTCACTCACTCACTCACTCACTGACTGACTCACTCACTCACTCACTGACTCACTCAATCACTCAGTCACTCACTCACTCACTCACTCACTCAGTCACTCACTCACTCACTCACTCACTGACTCACTCACTCAATCACTCAGTCACTCACTCACTCACTCACTCACTCACTCACTGACTGACTCACTCACTCACTGACTCACTCACTCACTCACTCAATCACTCAGTCACTCACTCACTCACTGACTGACTCACTCACTCACTGACTCACTCAATCACTCAGTCAGTCACTCACTCACTCACTGACTCACTCAATCACTCAGTCACTCACTCACTCACTGACTCACTCAATCACTCAGTCACTCACTCACTCACTCACTCACTCACTCACTCACTCACTCACTCACTCACTGACTGACTCACTCACTGACTGACTCACTCACTCACTCACTGACTCACTCAATCACTCAGTCACTCACTCACTCACTCACTCAGTCACTCACTCACTCACTCACTCACTGACTGACTCACTCACTCACTCACTGACTCACTCAATCACTCAGTCACTCAGTCACTCACTCACTCACTGACTCACTGACTCACTCACTCAATCACTCACTGACTCACTCAATCACTCAGTCACTCAGTCAGTCACTCACTCACTCACTGACTCACTGACTCATTCACACACTCACTCACTCACTCACTGACTCATTCACACACTCACTCACTCACTCACTCACTTACTGACTCACTGACTCATTCACACACTCACTCACTCACTCACTCACTCACTCACTCACTCACTTACTGACTCACTCACTCACTCACTCACTCAGTCCTCTATTTTGGCTGATTTTCCTGTGACTGCAGCAGCCCAAAATCAGACACACACACACACACACACACAGCTCTCTCCCATGTTGACAATAAAGTTTGGAGTGGTTGGGCTAAATTAACTATGCTAATCACGGCTCTCTCTCGGGGGATTTGAACACTAAATGGCTTTTAATCTAACGTGCCTCTGCAGACACAACAAACAACACTGACAAACAATCAGCAGCAAACAGAACACACTCGGCAGCAGAGAAGCCCCGCCCCCTCAACACCCTCAGCCAATCAGCCGTGGAGAGTTTAACGTTTAACCTTGACCTCTGACCCTGAGTCAATCGTCAATACTGGTCACGGACAGAAAGCTCATCGTTCTGACTAGAATGGAGAGTTTCATTGAACAGACAATCTCAGAACTCAAAGCATTACAGTATAATGTACAGTAGGCCTATAACAAGGAATATCACACAATCGGACATATTTTAGATTAATAAATCAAATGTGCAACTGATCTTACAAATATTATCAGTGCCACTCACTCTCTCACCATCTCACTCACTCTCTCACCTTATCATCTTACTCTCTCACTGTCTCACTCGCTCACCGTCTCATTCTCTCACGTCTCACTCTCTCCCCATTTCACCGTCTCACTCTCTCACCATTTCACTGTCTCATTCTCTCACTGTCTCACTCTCTCACCGTGTCACTCTCTCACCATCTCACTCTCTCACCGTCTCACTCTCTGACAGTCTCACTCTCTCACTGTTTCACTCTCTCACCGTCTCACTCTATCACCGTCTCACTCTCTCACCATTTCACTGTCTCACTCTCTCACCGTGTCACTCTCTCACTGTTTCACTGTCTCACTCTCTCACCATTTCACTGTCTCACTCTCTCACTGTGTCACTCTCTCACCCGTCTCACTCTCTCACCGTTTCACTGTCTCACTCTCTCACCCGTCTCACCGTCTCATTCTTTCACCGTTTCACCGTCTCACTCAATTCAATTCAATTCAATTCAGAAAGCTTTATTGGCATGACAAAAAATACATTTTGTATTGCCAAAGCGTCAAAACAACATAGAAAATGATTTGGAACATTTAGTACACAAAATATTAAAACTGATATCATAAAACAATAATAATAAAATGAACAGATTAATAAATAAAATAAAATGGATTTAGAAATCATCTATATATATATATATATATATATATATATATATATATACATAAAAAGAAAAATATTGAACATTATATACATGTGTGTAGGTCTTAGGCTGTGACTGAGTGTGTGTTTAGTGTATGTTTGCTGGTTTCTGGTCGTCCCTCAGGATGTGGCAGGATGCTACAAATTTTGCAGCCATATTTGAGCATTTGGCTTCTTCGCCAAGAATGAAACAAAGTTTTTGGGTCGGATTACAGGTGTTAAATTGGGGAAATATATTATTAATTTTGGGGTAATAGTGGTCTCTGATGTGTTCATATTTTGGGCATTCTGTGAGGAAGTGCAGCTCGGTCTCCGTCACTCCCAGGGTGCAGTGCGGGCAGAGTCTGTCCTCACGGGAGAGCCAGGTCTGTCTGCGCCGGCCCGTCTCGATGGCCAGGCTGTGCTCGCTGAGTCTGTACATCGTCAGGGTTTTCCTGAGTCTCACATCACTCACTGTGCTCAGGTAGTTCGCAACGGTGTACTCTCGATTTAGTGCCGAATAACATTCCAGTTTGTGTTGGTTTTTAATGGTGTTTGTCCAATGGGTGATGTACTTGTCTTGTTCTGTTTGATAATTTGTGCGGGCCGAATGTGTGTGAGTGTGTGTGTGTGCTGAGGCGAGCTGATCTCTGCAGGAGAGAGCCCAGTCAGTCTCAGCACCAGCTGGCACAGGGGACTCCTCGCTACGCTCAGCTCGTGGTGTTTTAGGGCTTGGTAATGGTATGTGTTGGGGTCGCTTGTTTTTAGGTGTTTCCAGAATTTGATGGCTCTTTTTTGGATGTTTAGAAGGAGAGGGTATTGGCCTAATTCTGCCCTGCATCCGTTGTTTGGTGTCTTTCTTTGGACTTTGAGTATTCGTTTACAAAAATCTAAATGTAGAGTTTCAATTGGATGTTTTTCCCAGTTTAAGAGATCAAATTTGATAGAAGGACCCCACACTTCACTCTCTCGCTGTCTCTTACTCTCACCGTCTCACTCTCTCACCGTCTCACTCTCTCACAGTCTCACTCTCTCACTGTTTCACTCTCTCACCGTCTCACTCTCTCACTGTTTCACTGTCTCACTCTCTCACCATTTCACTGTCTCACTCTCTCACCGTGTCACTCTCTCACTGTTTCACTCTCTTACCATTTCACTGTCTCACTCTCTCACCGTCTCACTCTCTCACAGTCTCACTCTCTCACTGTTTCACTCTCTCACCGTGTCACTCTCTCACCGTTTCACTGTCTCACTCTCTCACCGTTTCACTGTCTCACTCTCTCACCGTGTCACTCTCTCACCCGTCTCACTCTCTCACCGTTTCACTGTCTCACTCTCTCACCCGTCTCACCGTCTCATTCTTTCACCGTTTCACCGTCTCACTCTCTCGCTGTCTCACTCTCTCGCCGTCTCACTCTCTGAGAAGCATGTCTGTCTTTGCCGTTAGAGCATCTGGCCGGCTTTAGTGAGCCTGACCGTCTTTGATGACTAAAACAGGGATGATCACCTGAAGTTCGGGGCGGACGCCCACTCCAGCGCCAGACAGGCCAGATCCACAGTTGCGTAGACCAGCAGGAAGAAAATGCTCACGATACTCGCTATAGTGTTCAACTTCCCCGAGAACAACACCAGCTGGAGACAGAAAGAGACAGAGAAGGTCTGATCATCATCATCATCATCATCACTAGCCAAATATACAGAAACACTGATCTCCGGCTCCGTCTCAAATCCTAGAGCTGCACAGCTAATTAGACTATTGAAACATTTCAGTAATTGAAATAAAGCTGAAGTAAAATGTGGTGCATTATAAGTGCTGCCTGTGCAGGGAGCTCACTAGGGTTCGAAACAGAGCCCTTGTTTCACTATATTCTTGTCTTGACTCTTGTTTTATGTAAAGGAGGATGTGGGATACCAACAGATTGACCTGTTCTGCACAGCAGTACAATGACAATAAAGTGTTTAACTCAGCTTAAACTCTACTCTGCATTAAAATGCACACAGTGTCCAACACGAGTGTGTGTGTGTGTGTGTGTGTGTGTGTGTGTGTGTGTGTGTGTGTGTACTATTACTCTAATTTAGACAGAGTGTTATTAAGATATTGGCTGAGCATTATCCCTCATATTAAGTGCTCTTCTTTTAAGGCCCTCGTATATAACACTAAGTCTCGCTTAAGTGTCGGAGATAAATTGTGCGTTTATGAGACGAACGCTGCGGCTGCGTTTCAATCCGGCAGGAGGAGGTCAGGGACAGGCAGAAGAAACACATCCAGGTCTCTCAGGGAAAAGGGTTTCTGAAAACGGTGCATGTTTTTGGACGTCAGGATCACGTCTGGAAAAGTTTAATTTGCCGAGTCATCATCCGCTCATAAGCGCCACTCCAAGTGGGAGTTTAACCCTTTCAGACAAAGCCGATAATGGTGCAAACGACACTCAAGTCAGCTTCACAGCAGCTTTACAGAGATAACAGGAAAATAATGCAACAAAGTGTGTTTCCAGAAGAGAAGAGCGGCACAGTCCAGCTTAAATAAGTTCAGTGAGGTTTAATTTTTATTGTAAAAAAGTTAATTTAGTTCATTTATATATATAGCCGCTCTGGAGAAAGCCAATGTCATCGTCAAGCTCAGTTAATGGTTGCATGCAGATAAATAATATTGTTGAATATTAAATTAAATGTCCCCAATTAAGCAATCCAAAAGCCAAAGGCGGCAGTGGCAATGAACCAAAACTCCTGCAGGAGAAGGAATGGGGAACCCAGGCTTCGGCAGAACTCAAACAGAACACAGCATTTATTAGAGTTTGTTGTGCAGTTTTAGTTTCAGCCGTTTAATCCCCATCGCAGCGCTTCTGGATGAGGATCAGAGGTCGATAGCGGCATCGGAAAGAGCACTGTTGTCCTCTGGAGAGGAATATGATGCGGTTGTGTACATCAACTACTGAGGCGGTGTACGCTCACTTCGTTACACTAAAATAAATACTATGTTGGCTTTAATTAACTTTTTTATGTCAACAGGTTCCACATAACTGCGTTATAATTTGTTCATGTAACTTCAACATAACTACAACGTCGTCATTTTAAGCGACCCAATAGAGTCCCGAAGTGATGACTTTGTCCGAAGCTAGCGGCGCATGGGTTCCCTCGGTCGGAAAGCAATGCATTTTCCCCATAGACTTTTGGAAAATCAAAAAAATAAGATCTGTGTTTAACAAAGGGTTGTGACCCTTACACGTTTTGTCTAGCAAGATAATCTTTACAAGTTCATCCAAAATTTTAACATTTTGAAGCCTATATAAAGATTTTAAAAAACACAATCAAGACACAATAAAGTTTAAAAAACACAAGCAGGTTATAACTGAGTGTTTTATATCATTGATCAAAATCAAAATTAAAAACTTGCACCTTGGAACCGGTTACACAATTTGGGTTCTCGAGCATCAAACACTGTTGCCGTGCAAATGAACGGCTAGAACACATTAAAAGTTTCTGTTTTCAGTTAAACGGTGTCATGGCCCCTAAGTTAATCACTAATGATCTTTGCAATCAAAACTAACTTTATCTGGACAATAACTTTATTCTAGATCTGCTGTAAAGCCTAAACACTCTCTGTGACTGTAATCTCTATATCTATAATGTTAAAAGCACTGTATAACTATTATAACCCAGGGCTACTCGAAGGCGACTGGGGCCCAATGAAAGTGAGCTGAATTATGCATAAATTCATTTCAAATCATCACCTGTACGATAAACCAGGAGATGAGAACCGACACCCAGGGGTTCCCACTGCCGGATGTGCGTTTGGCTGGAGACAGAGCCTTTCCTGAGAGAGAGAGAGAGAGACGGACAACTGATACGATCTGTAACCGACTCATATTCATCCACTCATATTTCAAGGTGAAGAAACCGAACAACAGCAGGAGAATCAATCACTCTCACATCAAGACATTTATCCGGAGAACATTCATTCATCCATCAAACAAAAACCGGACAATACTCAGCATGCTGAACACACTCTCTCTCACACACACACACACACACACACACACACACACACACGGGTTAAAGGGTTAATTCACACAAAAATGAAAAGATTGTGCCATTATTTCCTCACCCTCATACCGTTAAAAACCTGTAACTCTTCCGTTGATCTTTTTGATCTTCTTGATATACGTTCATATGTGAATAAAGGTCTAAAAGCGATCGAGTCTCTTCAGAAAGTGTGTATTAAACCGCTCAAATATGCATTAGTTTTACAATCTCTTCATGAACTTTTTAAAGCATCAAAGTGGTGGTTCATTACGGAGGCGTACTGCATTCACTTGAAGAAAAAAAAGTACTGTTTTTCTAAATTAACAAGTTAATTACAAGATAATTTTTCATGGAAAAAAGTTTTTGCTCTGTTTTTCTGAATTAACCAGTTAATTTTTCATGAGAAAAAAATTTTTGCTCTGTTTTTCTGAATTAACCAGTTAATTTTTCATGAGAAATTTTTTTTTGCTGTTTTTCTGAATTAACCAGTTAATTTTTCATGAGAAAAAATGTTTTGCTCTGTTTTTCTGAATTAACGAGTTAATTACCTCAGAATTACGAGATAATTTTTCATGGAAAAAAGTTTTTGCTCTGTTTTTCTGAATTAACGAGTAAAATTTTTCATGAGAAGAAAAGTTTTTGCTCTGTTTTTCTGAATTAACCAGTTAATTTTTCATGAGAATTTTTTTTTGCTGTTTTTCTGAATTAACCAGTTAATTTTTCATGAGAAAAAATGTTTTGCTCTGTTTTTCTGAATTAACGAGTTAATTTTTCATGAGAAGAAAAGTTTTTGCTCTGTTTTTCTGAATTAACCAGTTAATTTTTCATGAGAAAAAATTTTTTGCTCTGTTTTTCTGAATTAACCAGTTAATTTTTCATGAGAAATTTTTTGCTCTGTTTTTCTGAATTAACCTGTTAATTTTTCATGAGAATTTTTTTTGCTGTTTTTCTGAATTAACGAGTTAATTTTTCATGACAAAAATGTTTTGCTCTGTTTTTCTGAATTAACGAGTTAATTTTTCATGAGAAAAACATTTTTTTGCTCTGTTTTTCTGAATTAACGAGTTAATTTTTCATGAGAAAATTTTTTTTTGCTCTGTTTTTCTGAATTAACAAGTTAATTACCTCAGAATTACAAGATAATTTTTCATGGAAAAAATTTTTTTGCTCTGTTTTTCTGAATTAACAAGTTAATTTTTCATGAGAAAATTTTGTTTTGCTCTGTTTTTCTGAATTAACGAGTTAATTTTTCATGGACATTTTTTTCTTGCTCTGTTTTTCTGAATTAAAAAAAATGTCCATGAAAAATTAGCTCATTAATTCAGAAAAACAGAGCAAAACAAAATTTCTGTGAAAAATTAACTGGTTAATTCAGAAAAACAGAGCAAAACTTTTTTTCTCATGAAAAATTAACTCGTTAATTAAAAAAAAACAGAGCAAAAACTTTTTTCCATGAAAAATTATCTCATAATTCTGAGATAATTACCTTGTTAATTCAGAAAAACAGGGTAGATTTTTTTTCTTCAAGTGAATGCAATACGCCTCCGTAGTTCATAGATGTTGATGGAGGGACAGAAATCTCTCAGATTTCAGCAAAAAGATCAGCAAGATGAGGGTGAACTTTAAAGGACTGAACCTCTGAGAACGGCTGAGGCACAACACATACTATACATAATATGTATTAATAACACACACACACATTTATAAGATATTACAAAAGTATGTAAATTGACATTTATTTATAATTAAATGTAATAATACACACACAACACAGTGCAGCACAACAAATACTCAAAATGCATGCATTACTTTGATGAAAAGTTTTGAGCCACTTCAAACTGAATATATATATATATATATATTAGGAATTAATATTGTCTAGTTTTGTATTACATACATTTGGGGGGATGAAATACAAGCTGAATGCATTTCAATAGACTGTATATTTACACAGGACAGGATATTTACACAGGCCAAAGTTACACGTTTATGCAAATGAGGCTCATTAGGGGGAGTGGCCAGATTTAAAGGTTATAATAAAGCCGAACACAACAATCTGTAGGTGACGGTGATTCACTCACCGAACAGGTCGTCCCGCGCCAGAGCGTACAGGATTCGGGAAGCTCCGATCAGATTACTCATGGCAGCGGAGAGCGTGGAGGAATACACACCGATGGTCACGAACGGGTGCCAGACGTTAATGTCTCGGAGGAAACCGTAATCTTTCTGCAGGAGAACCCTAGTGAGAGACCGAGCAGACGACTGTGACAATCACCATCATTTCTCAAGTCATTTCAAATATAAAAAAGAAGATTTTGGACCCCATTGACTTGCACTGTATGGACAAAATTTTCTAAATGAGTTGTTTTTTGCATTGCACTGCACAGAAAGTAAAAGAGAGAACCAAATCAAATAATGAAACCTAATCCCATCTAAGAAATCAGAGACTAAAAACACAAGATCCGAGTCTCTGGTTGAAACCCTTCTCACGCCTGTTTCAGCTCCAGCGGGTTTAATAGCATCATCCCAGCTCTATTAAGTATTATACAGACCAACCGCAGATCTGAACACACAATTATTTCACTAAAAGAGCGTCTGTCTCGCTCGCTCTCGTCCGTCTATCTCTCGCACACACGCGAGTTAACAAGTCCGCAGAAAATAGAAAGCGTCAATCGGCCGTCTATCCGTGCGCGAGCAGCTGATATCTTTTATTAGGTATTAATTCTGCTTACAGGACCCGAGTGAGTGTAAACACTGTCAGCTGCAAACAAACAAAACCATTAGAAAAGCAGAGCGACAGTTTCGCCGTATTGATCTGGGGATTACCGGTCGGTGCGATGCCAACGAAATGAACTCTGATGAGATTTCTGAAGAGAGACTTGTTTGCTTTCTTATCAGTACCTGAACACGACTCCAGCCATCAGACCAGCTGCATCAATGAGCAACTGAAGACACGTGAAGAACATTCAAGGCAAATCACAAACACAATCACTCGGAATTTGTTGAATCACTTTTGACCAATAGGTGGCGCTGTGGCCAAATTGATGTGGTGTGATCAGAGTGAGGTGATAATGACTCATGCAAAGTTTGGTGTCAATAAGTCAAAGCATTGCAGAGTTACAAGCTAAGAGACATTTTGGTACCAAACTTTGTTGCCGAAAACGGTTTCGTCTGTCGTCCATTTGTCTATAGTTAAATTTCCACTTGTGGACAACAAACAAACTAAACTAAACTAAATTCATAACTTTTTGCTGGCATGGCCTGAAGATAATACGGTTCAATTTTGATGAACATTGGAAAAAGTAGGTTTTTGAGGAAAATCAAAATGGCGGACGGTAAGTTCATCCGACTTCGGCAAAATTGGTATGCATGTTCTCGGCACGACCCATTACAGTAAGCTAATGTTATCAAAAGTTATTAAAGGTAGCGCTCGGGAGCAAGAGTGTTGTGTTTGTCCATGTGCATTTTTTTAAAAAATTGGAGAGGGCGGGTCTTCTCTAAAATTCGGAAAGATCCTCCGCTGTACCTTTAACATTTTGGGGAAATTTGATTATAACTTTTGAACACAAGATGGCACTGTCTTGAAACTTGCCAAATACAATGATACACAAAATACAAAATATAGCATTTAATGTCAAAATGGCCGATCTGGGAAACTTGGGTATCGTTCGACTTTGCATGCTGCACAGAATCTAAAGATACAAGTTATAAGCAGTATTGTAAACTTTCCATATCTCCTGCCCACTAGGTGGCACTGTGCAGAAACTGAGCAGGTACCCTCAGGTCATGGTGGTCAGAACACACACCAAATTTGGTCAGCATACACTAAAGTGCTGTGCAGATATAGCATTTGAATCCATTTGCGTATTATTTAAGAACGGTTTGACGAATCAGTTACGAATTCGGAGCAACGCAATGCAATTAAATTAGAGGAACTAGAGGAACCCATATTTTATTTCTAGCCCGAACAGCTCAAAAGTTATTAGCATTAATGTAGCCGGACCTTTGAACAGTTGGTGGCGCTAGAGGGATTGAGTTAGACACCCTATATTTGCAATGATGACAGTTCAGACTGCCCTCTATCTGTGTGCCAAATTTCTCGATAGCGATTGTATGGCCTGCAATAGAGTTCAGGAGCGAAATAATAATTATTATTTATTAGGAGAAACTGAAAGAACGCCAGTAAAACAAACGATTATCAGTTTAAACTAGTGCTGTCAAACCATTAAAATATTTAAATCGCGATTAATCGCGTTAATGTCATAGTTAACTCACGATTAATCGCACATTTTTTTCTATTCTCAATATCTCTTGATTTCTTTTTATTTTCTCTCATTTTAATGCTCTTATCAACATGGAAAAGTGGATCGGCTTGCTCTGCGCAAATGTTTTTTATTGAAAACAAAATTGGAATATACTGTGTTCAATTTCACACTAACATTCTCACTATCATTTGATAGAGATGGCCAATCAGATGACAGGGGTGGGGCTTATTGTTCACTTGACGACGAGTGACACCTTCATTGGGTTTAGCAGTGGAAATATATTATATTACACACACTGACTGTTATGAGAAACTGCTTATTCTAATATATTTTGTCCTTATCAGATTCTGCATGAACAGAAAGTTCAAAAGAAAAGCATTTAATTTGAAATTGAAATCTTTTGAATGACCATTCAAATATTTGGAGTTATGAAATTAATACTTTTATTCATTAATCAAGGATGCATTAAATTGCTAAAAAAATTACAATAAAGATATAAATAACGTTAAAAAAGATTATATTTCAAATAAATGCTGTTATTTTGAACTTTCCATTCATCAATTTTTATGCAGAAAGTGAAGTCCGATAGACACCACACCGCGCTCAACAAAAGAGAAAATGACAGCTTTGAACTAATGCAATTAAACAAGCAATAATGAATACATGAACAGACTGACAGTCCTGAGAGAAACACACACGCACACACACACACACACACGATTCCTTCCCAGCACTGCCGATTAATGTCCCGTAATCATCCTCATGACGAATCAACCGATCCACAACATGAGCTCACTCGACCCGACACTCCAACTCACAAATCAAATCTACACGCGATCATACCACTGGGGTCTTCTGCTACTGTCGCTTTAAGACTCAATCTGCACTATATATGCAAATCAGCTTGGCTCTGATTGGCTACTGACGGAAATCTGACTTGACTTGTGAGCTTTTGATCGCAAAAAGCTTGTATAAATGTGTTGTTCATCTATCTGATATTTTTGATATTTAACTTCAATAAATGTGTTTTTCTTAAATCTGGAGAGGAAGCGTAGAAACGTACAGTATGTTTTATTTCTAAAGATCAGGATAAATGTGATTTCTCCAGCCCTGACCTTTAAAAATGCTGAATATTTCTCCATCTCAACTCAACTCCTTCTGCGAAAGCAACGGTGTGTGTTTATGTGAGTCTCCAGGTTCAGTGTGTTACTGCCCCCTGCTGGTCACTCTCACACACACACACACACACACACACACACACACACCCTTATTTCCACTTGATTGGTGAATTAATCTCTAAAGTACAACTGTTGTCATGGCGATGGGCAGAGCTGGTTTCCACGGCGATCAGCGTTCAGTGTTTTGACTGACAGTGATGAGAAGCTGATTGATGGCTTTAATAATAACAAAAAAAACATATTTTAAACCTCTCACACTGATGTAATTTAATTTCTCTAATCAGACCCTAACCCCCCTTCTCTCACACACACACACACACACAGACAGAGCTTTCCTAATGCACATCATGTGAGGTGCATGTGATCCGGGTTTCACATAAGACTACTAAAAACATACACACTTGTATTTACTACAGTGCATGTGTAGCATTTCATTACCACACACACACACACACACACACACTTCCTGAACAAATGTACTTTGTGGCAAAAAGTGAACATGCACAAAAATTACGTCACGAGCAACAAAAACATCAAATCTAATTGTATTCAGATGATTTTAACTGCAGCAGTTTACATTCTTTCTGGTCGAATTGCCAGGAATGTCATGTGACCTCACTTACACTTCTGTTTTTACACACACACACACACACACACACACACACACACACACAAATCCAGCTTTCAGATACACTTTTGGTGCCAAACCTCCTTAAGTTTCAGTAGATTCAGTTTCATCATTTCTCCACTGGTGTATAAATATAAGGTTTTCGCAATTCTCCCTCTGTGTGTGTGTGTGTGTGTGTGTGTGTGTGTGTGTGTGTGTGTGTGAGAGAGTAAGAGTGAAAGAGTGTGTGTGTATGTGAGTTAGGGCTGGGTAATAAATATCGATTTCTAGATATTAATCGATTCTCTTTTTTACGAACCGATATCGATTGTTAAATCTCAAGAATCGATTAGTCATCCTGTTTCATTTGAATGAATGGATCATTGTATCGCGGCTGCGCGCATCCAAAAAAATCGCAATAATCTTTGTCCTTTGTTACTATTGATATGAAACAAAGTCTCAATTTTCAAATTACGTCCATTTTCTTTATAAATTCAAAAACATAAATAGCGTTTTGTCGCTGTGGCGTGAGATCGCTCTGGAGAAGCAGCAGCGCTGATCTCTCTTCCGGCTTAATAATACCAGTCACAGCGCCAAATAAACATGAATGAGCATCTGAAAGTGTGTTAAAGATAGAGGACAACTTATCCAAATCCGGATCATGTCACATTGATTCGCTCAATCAGCGTTTCAACCGTGGAAAGACGTCAGTTAAACAGCTTGTAATCAATGTATCGTCATATTTACCTCAGAAAACCCACATCAACTCGTTAGTCAGATAGAGAAAATAACTTTTTAAAGCATTTTGATAAATATATACACCATAATCTTAATATTCTTCAATATTTAATGCATATTTGAATAAATCTGGCAAGTTTTTATGACAGTCACCATTTAAATGTTTATATTTCATATAATCTTCTTATTATAAAATAAATAAAAGTGTAATTTAAGTGTTTGTATAGCCACAAAACAGTTCATTATTACCTTCATATTAGGCTAATGAAGTCTATAGGCTACAACTAGACTCCTATAGTTTACAGCATTAGTTCAGAGATTTGATTCCCTTGAGAAAAATGGCCATTTATTGGAACTGATATCCAAAATAATCGATATTGAATCGGATCAAATTGTGAAATTTGTGTCAATACCCAGCCCTAATGAGAGTGTGTGTGTGTGTGTGTGTTACCGGTCACATGTGCAGGAGATCAGCACACTCAGCAGGTTGTAGATGATGAAGGTGAAGATGACGGCTGTGATCGTGCCTCGAGGAATGGAGTAACTCGGGTTCTGCAGATCGCCTGAAACACACACACACACACACACACACACATTAGTGATGTTGAAGTCATGTGACAGGCTTGATTACGGTCTACGTTGATTGATTGTATCTAGGCTTCAAAAGATGATCAGCAATCGTGTGATCCTGCAATAATCACCGGACATGTTGGATCCGGCCATGATCCCCGTGCATCCGTTAAACATCACGGCGAACACTGTGGCGAACGACATCATCACTCCAGTCGTGTAGTCCACCGTGTACTGGGCTAAACAGGAAGTGAGATCATGTGAGAAGTTGCGCACTCACACACACTGGACAGTAGTGTGTGTATAATACGAAGAGCATGTGAACGTCATCGTGTTCCTGTGTTAATAATCTTGAAGCAGAATAACTTCATCTCTGATGACGAAGGGGGCGGGGCAACCTGTCACTCACATGAGATCAGCCAATAGCAAACTACAACCATCCGACCAATTCCCCTCCGCCCACACTGATGAAGGTGACTTGAGTAACGGACTTGACTTGGCCTGACCTGACCTCCCTCTTGAGTTCTCACACACACACACACACACACACACACACACCTTGCACGTTTCCCATGAGCGTGTCGAGCTTGAAGCCGGTGAAGTTGGCGCTGGTCGGCCCGACCGAGGTGTTGGTGTGTCCGGGAAGCTGGACGGTGCGAAACGGCACGGTGAAGAAGCTGACGAAGATGGTGCCCAGAACCACCATGACGAGGATGAAGATGATGAAGGTGGCTTTGGCGTAGATGTGAGCTCCGATGAGACACACCAGTAAACACACCAGCAGAAGAACTGTGCCGTATAGAAGAGACCACCAGTATCCGCCCGGCAACACAGCGTACCGGGACACGGCCAGAGACGAGCCCTCTGACACACACACACATTACTCATCACAACACGATTCATAGACTTTGATGCTGGGAATACATAAATAAACTTTTTTTTTTAAATAAAGATTTTATTTATTTATTAGCTATTAAAAGCCATTGATGGAAATAAATAAATAATTTAAATAAAACATTTTTTTATTAGCCATTAATGGAAATAATAAAAAAATAATAATGATTAAAAAATACATAAATAAATATTTTTATTTAAATAACGATTTTCATCAGCCATTTATAACTATTGATGCTTAAAATAAATAATAATAATATTAAAAGTAATTAATAAAGCTATATTTTTATTGTTATTGAATTAAAAATATTTTGATTTATTTGTAAGCCATTAATAACAATTGCATTGAAAGGAATATAAAAAAAGTATTTAAAAATAAATTAAGAAATAGTGTGATATAAAATGCTGATCTATAAGTTAGATAATTAGACATAAATTTGAGCAAATTACTGCCTAATTAGGATACATTGATATTGGAATACGCTACTTAGCAGATCAATAAAACAGGTCAAACCCCCGCAGGTTAATCTCCGGCGGATTAGCGTTAGCCTGTTTGGCTAAAAACGTGTGTGAAAAAAGTGTAATTTACTCAAATGCCTTTCCTTTCATATTTTTAAAATGACTTGCAGATTTATAACTTTATTACCTCTGAAGACATTATGACAGTGTGGCTGAGGCTCCTTTGGTTATGAACAGTGTGTGTGTGTGTGTGTGTGTGTGTGTGTGTGTGTGGTCCATGAGCGTGCACACCTCTGGTTGCAGTTTCGCTTGTCGCCAGAGGGGGCATAGTTCTGCATAAACTCAGAGACTTTAAAATATTACTAAATACTATAACAGTATATAACTCTGACTAAAATAACAATGTTGTGCTTTACACCTCAGCAGCGTTCAGATCTTCTGCATGAACACACACATCTGGAAGTGTTCGCAGCCTTCGTTCTGTTTTCCCTCACTTCATTTACATCTGACACACACTTTATCCAAACAGACTGATAATGCGTTCAGGTCAAAGTTCAGAAGCCTGATACCTTCAGGAATGCCGAAGGTCGTGAGCATGGCCTCCACCAGCCCCAGCACATAGAGGGCGCTGCCGCACACGTTAGCCAAGAAGAACATGATCCCGATGCTGCCGCCGAACTCTGGGCCCAGCGCACGACTGATCATATCTGCACACACACACACACACACACACACACACACATGCAGAAACACAAACATATAGTAGCTAAGGAAAAGAGAAGCAGGAGTAGTTGTGCACACACACACACACACACACACACACAGGTTTGAGTGTTAGGATACAGTACGCTCCTCCGGCGTCCAGCGCTCCATTGGTTGAGATCGCACACACTGACAGAACCGTCATGCTGATGATGAAATACGCCACCAGAAGCATCGCTATCGTCTGATACAGGCCACACTGACCCACAACAAAACCTGCAACACACACACACACACACACCAGCTTAGCCCTTATATCACAGTCTGGCTCATTCTGACTACACAGAGTGTGTGTGTGTGAGTATGAGTGCATATATGTGTGTGTGTGTGTGTGTGTGTGTGTGTATACGAGTGTGTATTTTAGTGTTTGTGTGTATGTGTGTGTGTGTGTGCCATCACGATACATTCATTAAATCAACACATTAACATCATCTCTCACCGCAGCTTCTCACTGAGCTAGTGTGTGCATTACACACAAACGAAACAAAGAAAATTAAAAACTAAACCTCTGCAGTTGAATCATGTGAGTGTGTGTGTGTGTGTGTGTGTGTGTGTGTCATGTGGTCATGATAACCAGAATAACCACATCAGAAACTCCATGTGTTAAAGAAAGGGAAACTAACCCTGATGACACTGATCACAGAACACACACACACACACACACACACACACATAAATATATACATACACATATATATCTAGACGGATATTTTACACCATACTCTAAGAGTCTGAAAGAGCAGAGCAGGAGTTCAAAGGATCAATGATTCGTCTCCGACTGATGACTGACACTGAGGGGGGAAACATTACAGCCATTTAAAAAACTAAATATATATAGAACTACTCAAACTGACAAAAAATAAAAATAATATTGAAAATATATAAATAATAACTAAAACCCCTTCTGATCTGATCTGATTGGCCGGCTGGATCGGCAATGGTTGGAAGCCGGTTAGTGGCATAAAATGTTTTGTTTCAGGAAATTGTGCGATTTGTATTATTTTATTTTCCCCATGTGAATATGATAATAAAATAAACGAACAATATGAAGTGTAAATGTCAATGACTGTTCCTGTTCTTGACCACAATAACCGTCAGAGAGAGAGAGAGAGAGAGAGAGAGACAGACAGACAGATAGATAGACAGACAGACAGATATATATATATATATATATATACATAGACAGATAGATAGATAGATAGATAGATAGATAGATAGATAGATAGATAGATAGATAGATAGATAGATAGAGACATATATATACATAGACAGACAGACAGACAGACAGACAGACAGACAGGTAGGTAGGTAGGTAGGTAGATAGATAGATAGATAGATAGATAGATAGATAGATAGATAGATAGATAGATAGATAGATAGATAGATAGATAGATAGATAGATATGGACAGACAGACAGACAGACAGATAGATAGATAGATAGATAGATAGATAGATAGATAGATAGATAGATAGATAGATAGATAGATAGATAGATATGGACAGACAGACAGACAGACAGACAGACAGATAGATAGATAGATAGATAGATAGATAGATAGATAGATAGATAGATAGATAGATAGATAGATAGATAGATAGATAGATAGATATACATGGACAGACAGACAGACAGATAGATAGATAGATAGATAGATAGATAGATAGATAGATAGATAGATAGATAGATAGATAGATAGATAGATAGATAGATAGATAGATAGATAGATAGATACACACCTATTCTCAGGAACAGCACCACACTGAACATAGACAGTAGTGTGGGAATCACCACGCCGAAGAAAGTGTTGAGTTTGTGCGGCTGTTTCGCGGCGGGTTTCCGGCGCCCGGTGGCGGTGCTCGGCTGGTCCTCCTCATGATCTCCCCCGGCCCGGTTCTCCCGGTTCTCCCCATTCTCCAGGTGTTCCCGGTGTTCCCCGGACTCGGTAACGCTGGCCGAGAGCCGGTAATGCAGCAGCGGCGCGCGCTCAGACATGCTCGTGACTGACGCTCAGTTCCTCTCCGACTGCGGTCACATGACCTGTGTTTACCAGAGCTCTGGTCATGTGACTGAGAGTGAGCTCAGCCAATCAGCGGCGGCCATGGGGATCTACGTCTGAATGGCGATACTAGAAAGTGTGTATATTTATTTAGTTTTTATTTTATTTTTTTATTTTTTCTTCCTCTCCTTTGTTTTTGTTATCCCTGTTTATTTGTTTAAACATGTTTCAATATATGTGATATCTGTAATGTCACGTGTAGCATTCCTGTTATACACTGTGTTTTGCACTTGGATTTATTTCTCAATTTAAAAAAAAAATAAAAAATAAAAAAAATAAATAAATAAAAAAGTGTGAGTGTGCACACAACCAAAACTGAAAATAGAAGGTTTATTATTTAGATAAATTCACAATGTACACCTCTCTGAAAATAAATCTCTTTGAACACACACACTTACCCTACCCCTAAACCCACCCATCACAGTCTGTGTGTGTGTGTGTGTGTGTGTGACGTGTCCTCCTCGAGCTCAGAGTTCTGGCGCTCCCATCAATCGGGCACCATGTGTTTCATGTCGGGTTCTGCGCTTCTTGAATCTCTTGAATCCGCCGAGTGCGAGTGTCGAGCATGAGCTCAGTCTTGGCCCCAGTCCTCATGTGTGTGTGTGCACGTGTGTTGCAGACTCTCCATCAGCAGGTCCACGGGCCCGTGCACGAGCCGCGAGTAGAAGAGCAGCGTCTCCGTCACACTGAGCGCTCGAGGCCCCGTACAGTCCCGGGCCCCGGAGTAGCTGGACCTCTGCGAGGAGGAAGAGGAGTTAGCCCATCCTGCTTCATCATCAGTCGTACACTGCACACACACACACACACAGGCTTATCTCGCTTACAGTGTCACAATATTTAAAAATCAAGATGTTTAAATGAATACATTATCCGCTAACTGTGATTTCTGAAACGCATAAGATCTCTGTAAACTCTAATGTGGACTCTGTTTTCTGTAAAGCTGCTTGTGTTGTGAAAGTGCTGTACAAATAAACGTGAATTGAATTGAATATATGAGTAAAATGCCATATCATATGCTTGTATGTCTTGTAAATAAAAATGAATTGATTTGTTGCTTAGAAAAAGCCAATGGGGTACGAACAAAATTATTGGTAGTTCCTTTAGAAAGATATAGTAGAGATTTCTAATGGGTTACCATCACTTTATATACATTATGCATTATTAATATTAAATATGAACATGTATATAGTGGTTATTAGTGAGCGCTAGTTCTAACTAACTTGTTAATCCAAGTTTCTTGTAATAGTATGTTAGGTCTGTGTAAAAAATGATTTTTTGGTGAAGTAAATACTAGTGAAAAAACCCAATGTAATTTACTTGAAAAAGTTAGTTCAGGCAAGAATTTAAAAAACTAAGTAAATTCCGTATCAGTACTTATTTCAAGCGAGTATAAATGAAAGTGTAATATCAACTCAATAAAATTAAGTAAAAATTACTCAACTTTTCTGATACTGGGGTTCCCATCATGCACTGGACCTTGAATAATTAATGAGGTTCATTTTTCACTGGTTTCCAGCTGTATTTACACTGTTTTATCATTGATTTTTGTTTTCAGTATTAGTAAATTGCCATTTTGTGACATTTCGAGTACATTTTTTGCTTAAAACGACACATACACAAAAACGATCCATCAAATGTTACCACCATTGTGTATTGTCTACCAAGTATTGAGGTGTTTGCATTCACATAAGGCTTAAAGTCTGACATGATGTGTATATATAAATGACTTAGATGATCTAAGTAAAGAACATACTATAAATGACTAATAAAATTCAAGATAATTGTTTTAGTGAAGTGTAATACAAAGGCAAAGGAAATCGGTATTAATCAACCTTTTACAAGCCGAGTTAAAATTACTTATTTTTTTGTAAAGTTTACTTAATTCCACATTCCAAGTAAATTTAACTTAAAGATTTCTAATTAAAGCTACTGATAAATATGTTTAGGTTTTTACTTGGCAAATCTTTGTAAATTTACTAGCATTTTCTGAGTGAGATCGGTTAGCAAGGTTTTTTCAAGTAAATCCTACTCCAAATTTTTTACAGTGTAGTTTTTCGCTGCTGACGGAACAGTGTTATGAAGTGTGTGTGTGTGTGTGTGTGTGTGTGTGTGTGTGTGTGCAGGGCCACTCGCCTGCCGCTCCAGCGCGTTCACGATCAGCAGGTGGTTCTCCACACTGTGCTCCAGCTTCTTCAGAACGCGCGTCTGGCACGAGGACGAGCGATCCTTCACGACCCGCAGAGAGCGCAGGAACGCGCCCAGAGACTCCCGCACAAACGCCTGCTTCTGCTGGAACTGACGGTGCGCCTCGAATCAGTAACACCGAAGACATTAATGCTGTTAAAACCCACAATACAACAATTCTTTTCCAAGCTTTAGATCGCTATTCTAATATCAGGATTCAGTTTTTTTAGAGAGTGACGCCTCATGAACTAATGCAATAGATCAGATATCACGCTTAACCATTAGTAACATGTGCAAACATAATATTGTGTAATGTTCGTCGAAATATAACTAGCGGTAAATAACGCGAATATCTTTTCCGAGCTGCAGTTTATAAACAAGTTTGTATTATCCAACGTAATCTCATGAAAGTGCGTATCTATACCACAAATTTAATTTATCGTGCTTTTTATACGCCCAAAGTGGTTTTTGAGTACGTACGCACTGTAAATCTCTTGATTAGGGGTGTGGAGCGCGTGCATATTACACGCCAAAAAGTGCGTATCAGCATCGCGAAAACTGCGTAGGCCTATCGTGCACGCGAAAACTATTTTTAGCGTATAAATGGCACGATAAATTCAGCCCCGTTGTGTGTCATCCTGGTTGCAGTTCATTATAATTCCACTGGGGGTGATGGCGGGCGAGAGCAGAATGAATGGGAGTCTATGGGGCTAAACGGCTAAATGTGTCTCTTTCACCTGCTTGTCGTTAAATCAACACAGATTTTATTGTTAATTCCGCAAGTTCAATATAGATTATAGGCCAAAAGTCGAATGAACGAGTACTTATGTCCTTTTGATTTCCTACAGGTTAGGCCGTTGCTGGCCGGAGCACGCTAGCATTCTGCTATTGTGTGACGTCATCACATTTTTGGACAGATTTTTAGAACAGATAAGTAACTTAAAAATGCAATTTTCAGCTGAGTGTATTATTAGCCTTCCCTTTTGAATACAACTTTAAAATTACATGACAAAAAATTACATCCTGAGAAAAGTGGATTTCTGTTGGTGAAACCCCATTGACTCCCATTCATTCTGCACCCGACCGCGAGCGCCCCCGCATGGACAGAGACGCGTTACTGCAGCCAGTCCAGAACCCGGAAGTAACCAGCCAGTGCCGATTCTCTTCAATTAGACATTCTCTGGTATAGATCCGCGCTTTCATGAGATCAGGCTGGTTAGACAGACAGAGAGATGCACATCAACTTAAAGGGATACTTCAGGATTTAGCATTAAGCTTTGTATTAGTAGAAAACCATGCTATCCACCCTCATATCCTCCTGAGACGAGAGATTTATGCATTTTTTGTCTGGATAAAATCCTCTGATGACGCAGTAATCATCATTTTTCGTCATCGGAGGATGTTTTGTCCAGAGGCAGTAGTCGGGTCTGTCCCGCATGTCCTCAACCCGCCCATAGAGGGCGATCTCACTCACAGAATTCAAACATAATTTCACATTTCTTCTACATAAATGACCCAGTTTATATACACATTCATCTTTCCAGAGGTGACGTATCCCTTTAACTTTAGTGTTCAGTGCTGACATCAAACTTGGAGAGGAGGAGGAGGAGGGAACACAAGTCTGGCTGATCGCTGTTCCCGCAGTTCACCTCAGTCTCTGTTTTCGTAACCAGAAGGATGGCTCTGCTCAGTTATCTCATGGCTGTTGTAAAGTTTGATTGACGTGCTGTGACTCGAGGGGGAGGTGGGCCTTGAGTAATTTGCGGGGCCCTACACAACCCGTATCGGGATATACTCTCTATAGTTTTTATTCAAACAACTAAATCCGAAATAAAAATGATTCAGAAGCATGTAAAATAAAATAAATTATATATAATTAATAAGAAATATATTTGATTATTTTATATGTTTTATTATTGTTTTACTCACCGGTGTGTGTTTCCATGTCCCTCGGTGTATGGCGACACACGGGCACAGGACTGGCGAGGGCAGCTGGTCCACACACTCACTCTGTGACAGCAGGTTTTAATGAGTGCACTGTAGTACAGTAGTGTGTGTGTGTGTGTCACGTGTTGAAGCGTGCGTGCATGTACCATGAGTGTGTGCAGCGCCGGCGTGACGTCCATGCTTCTCCTGAGCTCTGGGTCACAGATGAAGTCCAGGGGTCTGTTCAGACTGATGTCCACACACAGCAGAAACACCACTGCACACACACACACACACACACACACGTCAACATCACTGATCAACCAGCAAAGCAACATCTCTCTGATTTCAGCTCAGCCCGGTTTTTTTGATATATTTTAAATTAGTTTTTGTATTTTCTTATTTATATTATAACTGCCATACACATATTATTTCTGTTATTTAACATGTTTTGTTATATTTTTTAATCTATTCATGGATATTGAGTGTTGATGTTAGATAGGAACTAAAGTACGTTGCACACGGACACTTATTAAGGTGCAACAGGAAAGTAGAACGGATGATGGAGATGTAGAATTACTGAAATAAATGAACACTTGCACTATATTATATATTTAAAACTATGTATATCTATATATATTTAAAACTATAAACAAAAAAAACTTTAAACAAAAGCTGCATGAGAAACTAAGCAGAATATGAAACAAACATGAACTCAAGTTCACTATAATCAGCATTGACTATATTAGGTGGACCACCCAAACCCCAATATTACGTTATTATGATCGTACCTGTCATAGGCAGGCATGTTTCTCACGGCCTTCAGTTTCGCAATAACAAACGGTATTTGGTCCTCATGTTGTCTTTCTACACGAAGAACAAGATAACGATTCTGCCTCAACATGTCCTAATAATCCCAAACCATTCATTAATCCTTCATCATCTCCTCTCAGACAGTCACAGTCACTCCGTGAGGCACTGAATATGCAAACACTGTACAATAAAGATTCTTGCACAATAGCATCACTGCAACTTTAAAACCAACTATCAAATAGAACAGGCTCTGGAGGGTTACTTCAAAAACCGTATTCTGTTACAGTTACAAATTACTTCAAGAAAAAAGTATTCAGTAACGTAATCCAAGTTCCACGATATGAAAGTAATGTAACTGATTACTTTTGAATTACTTCAAGGACAGATAGTATTTAAAAAAAAAAAAAAACTTTTATTTATTAAGAATTTCACAGCCCTGAATAAATGTTTATGTAAAGGACTATACGGACATCTAGTGGCGACAGTATGGTATTACACATTATTTTGTTTTATTTTTAACTTGACATGCACAAAGAGAATACAAATTCATTTTTTTTCAAGCATATATAATGAAGAATTTTTAGACAACGGAAAGGTTTCTTCAACAGGAAAATAGAGAATCCAAATGCTTAGGTTGGATGTCGAGTCCTGCGATAATGTGTTTCCATTGCTGGAAGGCACAGTTGGCACTGTACAACCATGTTGTTGGCCTTTTCTTCTTTAAAAACAAAATATCAGCGGAATCTGAGGAGATTATTTTGCGCGTGCACCAGCGGGTGGCACACGTGACTCGTGCCTTGAGTCATTAAAGTCCCCGTGAACCGGAAGTTGCACACGATTTTTCTCCAGTGCTGTGACGTATTTCCAAGTGAAACGGAATATTGAACAGAGGGCAGGGTTTGACTCTAGCGCTCCTCCTCTCCATCTCTCGCTCATAGCAAACTAACGGTTTGAGGGGAGTGGTTAAGCGTTTCCCCACCCAAACTGTGAAACCTACGTCATCAGAAAAAGAAACAGACCGGAAGTAACTTTTCAGATTTTGATTAAAGATTACTAAGGTAAAACATTTTTTTAATATATATTCACTTGCACGGATTAATTGTTCACCACAAGACTAGTAATATGCGCTAGCAAAGTAAATAGGTTCAATTTTGATTTCACGGGGACTTTAATCAAGTAGTGTTATTATGCAAAATACAGATTTATTTAGTTTTAAATGAAACCATTGTAATCCTCAAAGTATCCCCCCTTTTTTTTCAAAACGTAACTATGAGGTGATTACGTTTTTTGACGTAAATTTTTGTCTCCTTATTTTGTAACGCCGAATATTATTTTTGTAACGCCGTTACATGTATTCCGTTATTCCGAACCCACTTTATTCTCTTCTAAACCTCCACTGTATGACAGAAACGCAGCTTGTTTTCTTAATGATGCACGTGGAAATTTGGCTGATCCTAATTTGGTTCAGCAAATGAAAATCAATAATTGACGATTTGAGACAAAGGTCTTGTTCAAGGTAATAAGCAGCCGTTTTTCAATGACGCGTGAATATGTGAATGTATGATATTTCGGACGAAAGTCACAATAATTTACGTGATAACAAAACAACCGGCTGATGTTCACATGATTAGATTCAAATGGAAATATTATATATTAAGTTGGGTGACCATCTTAGAGATAATCTTCATATTCATAATGAGAATCATATCATAAATAAAAAATATTAGGGTATCTCATTCAATGCTTTCAGAATCTTTACTTTTTAAAAATGCTTCTGTTTCTGTATTAATACAATTAACATATTTTATTTACAGTATTGAACAAAAATTGATTAATCGATAATGTAAATAAAATAAGTTCAAAATAAATACATCAAAAAAGTTTGTACCATTTGTGGGTTTGTCTTGATAAAAGAATATATAAAATGAATATATTATTTTATCAAGATGAAATAAAACAAACTATTTTGATTTATTTTCACACTAAATCTGTTTGCTCCATCAATGCTCAATAAAAACATAATTTATTAATCCTCGCTTATTAAAAGATCAACACGGCTGTTAAACCTTCTGCATATTTCTGTCATCCGCACGCTTTTTACTGCACACATGCATCATATTTCATATCTGCGCAATCACATGTCGAAACTCTTCAATCTTCACTGAACATGTGTCTGCAGCGGGGCATGTTGTCACACTGCCAAAAACAGGCAATTATAGACCGCAAAGTTCAAAAAATAAATTAGCATTATGAAACAGAAATATGCACACATTTTCTAGAACCATACAGAACAACATACAGAGAAATCGAGCGTTTAACTCAAAATCCGAGAGATCGTCATTAATCATATTAATCATGCATAATCATATCTGTGGTATCCTAATCATCCTCGTGTTTCAGTGTTAAAGTGTGTGTTAGTCTTACCCGCGCAGAGGGTGTGTGTGCACATGTCCGTCTGTCGCGTGCGTAATAAAGTTGTGAAAACGTTATTTCTTCTGAAAGTGTTCTGAATGGCGCGCATGCGCAGAGCGCAGATCAGTGTTTTATTCATGCTCGCCCGTGTGTGTTTATTTCAGATGCATTCACTGATTTTGTTTACTTATGTATTCATATTCTCTTCTCTTTAATGAACGCATGATCCGCTCGTCATCATCAGTGTTTTTTCTAGTGCAATGATTTATGAGTGACAGCGGGTTGCTTATTTTAATATTTATTAACTCAGATTCAGAATAGCTAATCTGTTTCAAGGCCATAATGAAGATGCTGTATCTCTCTCTTAGAGTGTCTCTGTCTGTGTGTTTATGGGGTGCAGGGCTGGTCACCATGGCGACCACAAGCAATGGAGAGGCTGATAAAGGAAGCGTCTCTCTCTCTCTCTCTGTCCATCAGCAGCAGCGCCTGTGCAGATGTTGTGTGTTTATCTCTTGTTCTGTGGTGATGACAGCCGGATCTGGATCTGGATCTGCTGGGTTTAGTGTTGTCTGATGGCCTGTGTTTGCGGAGATGACGCGTCGCGTTGCTGTGCGTCGTGTCGTCGCGTTTTTGACGTCGCGCTGATTCTGCCCTGTTCTCACACACTGTGCGCGCGCTGCCTGGCAGAGGGGGCGGGGTCTGGTCGGGGCGGGGGCGTGGTCATGGGCGTGGCCCCCGCCTCTCGTTTAATCTGTGCCGTACTGTGTCCGAACTGTCGTCACAGCGTCGAGCTGCCCTGCTTTGATTGGTCGTCTGCTTTGACCTGTCTGCCCTTTGACCCCACAGTGACCCCTGACCCTAAAGCTAGCGAGGAGACGGGTGAGTGTCCTGCATACTATTTCCGACTATTTCCAGTGTGAAAGCAGTCACTTGAGTTTACTGCATAAAAACAGCCCTTAAAACACAGGTTCCCTCAAACATTTCATTTTGCTGTCTCTGTCCTCTAGATGGCAGTGTAGATCTTTCTGAAGAGGAAATGGAGAGCTCAGTTACAGGTAGGCAGGCTGTTCATACTGTACACTACTGCATACTGCACACTACTACACACTGCATACTGCACTCTACACACCGCATAATGCACACTACTCCATAATGCACACTATACAATGCATACTACTGCACACTGCATTCTGCACACTACACACTGCATACTACTGCATACTGCACACTACACACTGCATATTTCACACTACTACACACTACTACACACTGCATACTGCATACTGCACACTACTCCATACTGCACACTATACAATGCATATTACTGCACACTACACACTGCATTCTGCACACTGCATACTGCATACTGCACACTACACACTGCATATTTCACACTAATGCACACTTCACACTACTGCACACTACACACTATATTACACTGCTTACTGCACACTGCATACTATCCCAGATAGCAGACTGACATTGAATCAACGTGGAAATATGACATCGAAACAACGTTGATCTGACATTGTTTTGCTCATCGAATTAACGTTGAACCAACGTCAGACGCGTCATTCTTTCAAAACTAACGGAAAATCAACTTGAAATCAACACGTTGTTTCAACGTTATGAAAGCAAACCAATTTTCGATTTCATTTAGCTTTGAAGAATGCCGCGTCTGACGTTGGTTCAACGTTAATTCGATGAGCAAATCAATGTTGTTTCAATGTCATGAGAGACGTCGTTTCCACGTTGATTCAATGTCAGTTTGCTGTCTGGGACTGCATAATGCACACTGCATATTTCACACTAATGCACACTACACACTACACACTATATTACACCGCTTACTGCACACTACCAACTGAATAGTGCACACGACACACAGCTTACTTCACACTACATACTGCATAGTGCACTGCACACTATAGACGAATCCGGCGAAACTACCGTAAGCGGGGCGCCATTACTGAGCTGTTGTTGGGTAGCGTTGCGCCATTGACTCCTATTGTTTTAGTTGCAACTTGCGTCCACTGGAATAAACAGCCCGCGATTTACGACTGTCACTAACGTTACAACGTTACCCCTTGTATAATGTCGAGTGGGTAAACAGTTTCCGTTATAAATTGCTTCAATGGTGGCAGTAAAATTTCAATTTTGAAGAGAAAACATTGTGAATACCCCGGGTCGACTGCCCCTGTCTGGTGCCGTACGGTTTACACAGATTTCCTGGGCGAGTACAAGACGCGGACATTCGCGTATAATAATAATTATTTAATGACATAAGTAAAAAAATATAATAAATATGTGATATAGTGAGCAGCAAAATCTCCTCTCTTGCTATTTTTTCTATTCAATTAACATGCTATGGACATTAAATGGCTTTCCTGAGCTAAATGTAACGTTATGTGACATAATTGTTCTCCCGCTGTTATATTGACCTCTTTCCATGGTTTAAAAACACTAATTGGTCGATATTATGTATACTTTCTAGCATAACGTTACCCCGTTGCAATGTGAAAATGAGATAAATAATAATGGACACAAATGAAAAACATGAATTTGTTTATTTGATTTAATTTATTTATTTATTGTTGCCAAATGGACAGATCTTTTTATAGTTTCCTCGTTAGCAAACGTTAGCCTAGCTAGCTTGCCAAGCTATTTTCACAAATAATCTGTAAGATCGTTTGTACCTTCACCTGTGACTGGAAGCCAAGGTCTAACATCATCAACCCAACAAGTCTGCCTGTCTGTAGCTGTCATCGAGGGTGCGTTCGCGTTATCACCGAGGTTTGTTTACATACCGGTGCATATGTCTATGCCTGTGTAACAGCTCAGTAATGGCGTCGCCACAAGATGGCAGCCTACACAGAACACTCGTCGGATTCGTCTATACACTGCACAATCACACTGCATTTTGCACACAATACATTGCATACTACACACTGCATATTGCAGACTACATACTGCACACTTCTTTAAGCTTGACGTTGATTAGTCGTTGATCATGGCCTACAGGGGGAGGAAAGTCACAATTATGACATACTATATCAGAAATATGATATGCTAAGATAAAAGTAAGTTTTACATTTAATTACAACTTTTTAAGTTATAATTTCAACCTGTCATAAATATGACCCTATTAAATCAGAATTTCGACTTAGCTTGTCATAATTTGTACATATTATCATAAATCATGACAATTTATGCTATAATTATGATTTATAAAATCAATCAATTAAAGGATTATTTTTCCTGTGTGGATGTGTAAATGCACTTCCAGTCTTCACTCATATTTCTGTGTAACCGACGTCTGCAGGTCTGGTGTTCACTCTGGATTCGTCGCGCTCTGATTCGCCGCTTCGCCTCTCAGGCTCCGCCCTCTCCGTAAGCATCACGGGTCAGGTGTGCTGTGAGGATGAGCGGAACGACCCGCCTCCACTGCCTCAGGTGTGCGGGAGCGTGAGCGTCTCCAGAGGACAGTATTACTGGGAGATCGACGTCTGCAACAGCGCCCTCTATAGGATCGGTACGAGAGGAGACGCTGCTCATGTTTATGCAGAGGTATTTTCATGTAAATTCATATAAGTGTGATTGGTTCTTTCCTCAGGTGTGATATCATCATGTGATGGGCGTGGCTGGTGGTTGGAGAGGCGTGGCCTAGCATATCACGCGGTGTTTGACGGACGCCGTGAGCTCCTCCCCTTTATTCCTCCTCACCTGAAGACAGTGGGTGTGTTTCTCAATGTGGGCGGGGCATCAATCACCTTCCACAATCCTGTCACTCAAGAGTTTCTTGCCGCTGTCCCCTCCCACTTTAGTGTTCCTCTCCGTCCTGCTCTCCAATTGGGCCAGGGAAGACTCAAGCTCCGCCCCGGCCTGCCGCCGCCCAATCACGTGTTTCTCAGCCCCAGCTCCACCTATCGGGGTCCAGGAGGGGCGGGGTCTGGGCGCTGGAGGCGGGGCCTGTCGTTCGGGTCCGTGAGGGCCGTGGTTCAGAAGTTCGAGGAGATGTCGACCGTGTCGGACTCAGACTCGGGTCTCGTTTCCAGTGTCGGGTCGCTGTCTGAACACAACACCAGTACAGAATAACAACATCACGAACATTTATTGACGTCCTGCTTCTGCTGGGAAGGAGTTTTCTACTGTTATCTATTTATATTCAGTGTTCGTTTCGAATGATGATTGAGAATTAAACACACATCTGGACTGACACACTATACATGCACAATAAATACTGATCAAACGTTTTGGATCGGTAAGATCGTTTTTTAAAAGACGTCTCTTCTGCTCACCAAGGCTGCATTTATTTGATTAAAAATACAAAAAAAAACAGTAATATTGTGAAATATTATTATAATGTAAATCATCTGTTTTCTATGTGAATATCCAGTAAAGTGTAATTTATTTCTGAATTTATCATCATTACTCCAGTCTTCAGTGTCACATGATCCTTCACAAATGAGGATCTGATGATCAACACACAGTTATGATTATTATCAGTGTTGAAAACAGTTAGACATTTTTATTTCAGGATTCTTTGATGAGAAAGTTCAAAAGAACCGTGTTTATCTGGAATAGAAGCTTTTGAAACATTAAACATTCAAAAGTTTGGCGTAAGTAAGAATTAGCCTATTATATTTGGGGGGAAAGAAATAAAATAAATCAATACTTAAAATTTTTAAAAGATAAATTAAACTGATCAAAACTGACAGTAAACACATTTATAATGTTACAAAAGATTATGGAATAAAACTAAAAAATAAATAAATAAAAGAATCCTGAAAAAATTTACAACTGTTTTCAATATTGATCATAAATATTTCTTGAGCATCAAATCATCATATTAGAATTACATATCTTTAGAAAAGATATAGAAAGATTATTAAGATACTGAGATAGATATATCTGATGAACATTTCAGAAGAGATCTTAATAATGTCTCAAATTATTGATGTATTGTAGTTTTATTTTTAATTTTTATATTTCATTAGTTTATATATAATATTAGCATTTTATGATTTTTATTTTATTTAGTTGTAGTTAATTTGGTTCTTCAACTTAAACTAAATGTTTTAGTCATTTTGTGGTGTTTTTATGTCATTTTTATTAGTTTTATTCGTAATAACCCTGGATCTGAGCAGCTCCACACTCATTTATAGCTCTTTATCATATTTCATGACAAGTATTGATTAGATAGCTATCATAAGTTTAAATTAAATTGATTTTACTTAAAATATATAAAAAATTAAATTTTCCATAATGTGCTATTTAAGTACACTTTATAAAAATAAACTAAATATTACTAATTCATAAATTGATTTTTAAGTGTATTCAGAAAAGTGAGTGCACAAATGACCAATATTAACATTTTAACAGTATCTGTTAACATAGTGAAAATTTATTTGAAATAAATTATTTGCTTTATAATATGATTTGTATATATTATATATATTATTTTATTTTAAATAATTTATAAGTGTATTTAAAAATGCATTAAAGATGGGTTCAATTGTAATAAAAGGGGTAAAATAAAAACTAATTAAAGCTGAAATAGTATGTTAAAAGCATCTTTTAGTTCAGTATGTGTAAAAATAGCACAGTTGAGTAGTTCATCTTAAAGTATAAACTTTAGTATAAAAGTTAAAGTAGGTAAAGAAAACTTTTAGTAGTCTATATTAAGCTTAAATTAGTGTGCGAAAATGGACCACTTTATGGATGTATACTTTAATGAAATGTATTTTAGTGCACTTTTTTAAATCTAGGAATACATTATAAGTATAATTTGTACATGTTTATTATATTCAATTTTAAATAAATTATTATTGCATTTAAAATACATTAAAGATGGGTTCAGTTTTACCAAAAGTGGTAACAAAATACATTTTTTAAAGTTGAAAAAGTATATTTAAAATACACTAGTTTATCTTTAGTGTGTCTCAAAATAGCACAGTTGAGTACTAAGATGATCTTAAGTTTATCTTAAGCAGTACTAAAGATAAGCTTTTAAAATTGAGGACAAATAAAGTTTGCTTTATGGAAGTTTACTAAGTGCACTTAAATAAAATGTATTTCAGTGAACTTTTTCGCCTGGGATTGCTTGTTTTGAAGACATTGAATATGTAATGTACTTTATAAAGTTAATATCAGTAATCAAGCATGTAATTAGTCGCTACACTGGCATATACTCACTGTAAAAAAATATTGTTGGTTTAACTTAAAAAAGTAAGTGAGAACTGGAAAAGTGAGTTAATACAAATAAGGAGATTAATTTAATCAGCAGAAACTCAAAATAATAAGTTATCTCAACTAAATAAATTATTATAAAGTTGATTTGACAAAAGAAAATATGTTGTGATAACAAATCTTGAAAATATTTTTTACAGTGCTCGTGTGTTCTCCACGGAGAGAAGGAGATGTTAGTGTGTGTGTGTGTGTGTGTGTATCTGACGTTCAGGCGAGGTGAGGAAGCAAACTTCGGTTCACACCAGTGTCTCAACAGTCTCGGTCGGTCTCCTCCTGCGCTAATAAGCGTTCGCATATTAGATGAGTATCTCTGTGTGTAAGTGAGCTGTTAACTTCATCTGTTCCTCGTTATTCTTCCATTATCGCAGAGCATTCATATCGACACCCGAGAACGGCACATGATCTGCTGAAGATCAGCTTTTAGGAAAACTCTGCAGAACAGATTAAACACTCCAACAAATGAAGCATTAAACCACAGATAACGTTCTTATGGCTACAAAACTGCCTTTTAACGTTTTAGAAACACGTGTTTACAACATAATTAACTCAACACGGTAAAACAGTGTTTAGATCGCTTAAAAACATTAGAAAACCGTTGTTCAGTAAGTAAATAAACTTAATGCCTAATGGAAACAAAATAAGTTATGGGTAATTGACAATTCACATTAGCCATACATATCTACTAATTCTAAGGCAACTGTTTTAAGTTTATTCAAAAATGTTGTCTTTTACACCTGACAAAACATGCAACAGTAGGCTTTATCATGTGTTTATAATGCTGTCAGCTGGATTTTATTGGTTTTGTTTGATCGCCATATTCAAAAAAGGTGCAAAGTATTCCGCTACATTTAAAGCATATAATCGCCTTTGATCTAACCCATAGAAGATGAATATTTAGCTCAAATCAGTTTGTTTGGGTATGATATTTCAACACAGTCTCATGAAGATGCGTATCTATAGCACGAGTGTCATTTTTCATGGCATTTATACGCCAAAAGTGTTTTTTTTCGTGTATATGGAACGCACTAAAAAACCCTGGGTTAGGTTTAGGGGGGATGGGGGTGGGGAGTTCGTGCGTATTATACGCAAAAAAGTGCGTATCATATGTACGCGAATATCGCGTGCCATATACACGCAAAAACTGTTTTTGGCGTATAAATGCCACGAGAAATGACATTCGTGCCATAGATACGAACTTTCATGAGATATTTTAGTATAAAGGTTTCGGCCTATAAGGAAAGACAGAAAGTCCTCCGCCAGAATACACACACACACACACACACAGGCGATAAGCGGTTTCTGTCGATCCCCGGGAATGGGTGTGTAATAAGCTCGGTTATCACCTCGTGTGTGTGTGTGTGTGTGTAATAATATCTTCGGTTATCACCTCATGATGAAATGCAAAGAGCTCATGATCGACTGATGATGGACTCCCATTCTCAGCGGATGCGCGCGCAGGTGTGAAGCACCATCAGCATGAAAACAACACACCTTACACACACACTCAAGCACCTCGTGTGTACCTGTGAACTCATTTCGTAAACGCTAATACACACACACACCATTTGTTGTGTATATTGTGATGTTTAGTTCTGTCTCACATGTCTATAACGAGACTGTAACACACACACACTCATTACGGAAACATGCATTAAATATAAATCTATTTTTAAGATACCAGAGAATGCGCTATAAATAAATTATATAAAACATAATATAATTCATTATATGCAAAATGTTAAGTTAGCCAAATAAAATACAACGCATTGGCTATATAATATTTAAAATGGAATAAAACAACACACTCGGCATATTTGTTTTGGTTATTGAGCCTACACGTATAATTTATCCTTCTATCTGATACTTTAATGACTTTAATTCACTGTACATGTATTTAATAACAGCAGTTCTGGTGTTTTATTTCAGATAGACAAGTGAAATAACTCTTTTGTGTTCGTGTCTCTCTGTTGAACTCTAATCTCGCAGTGAAAGGAGAACACGAGGACTCCGCGGCTCTGCTGGAGTTTATTGCGCGCGTCTTTCTCATGCAGAACACCCCGCGCGCGCGTTTAACATCTGCATGGCGGGAACCCGCGGGGATCCGCGCGCCTTCCGGGCCACTGATATACTCACACGCTTTATTATTTTGTGATTTTATTATTCCATTATTCGCCATCATTCAGAGCCTTTCAGACCCTGCGGAGGGGAAATGACCCCATATACCGAGAGGGAAGTCTTTCATAAAACCATCAGGGTTTACAGGACACATTATCATCATCATTATAGGATTATTAGCAGCACATTATGGCTGGCCTGCGAACGCTTTGAAGGAAACATGTTATTAATATGTCGTTCATGGAACTTTTTTGTCGGAAACCATTTTGTTCGTTTTTAAATGTTTTTAAATGTTACCACTTATGTCATAACGTTCAGAGAACATTCAAAAGTAGCGTTCCCATGTTTGAAGAATGATGTAATGCGTGTTCGAGATTTATATCGCCAGCTGACACACGTGTGTTCTAAACCGTTATTTCTGAATGTTCTCTGAGCCTGCTTCAACACCTTTTTAAATGTGCTAAAGACGGTTTTATGGTCGTCAAGGGAACATTCCATTCTTCAAACATTATGGGGAACGTTAATTACTTTTGAATCTTCTCTGAATGTTTAGAATGTTCTCTGAATGTTACTTTTGAATGTTATAAACACATTTTGAGAGTTGTAAACACTTTTATGGCCTCTATAGGAAGCTTATAGCCGCTGAACATTCTGGGAACGTTACTTTTGAATGTTCTCAGAATGTTACTTTAGAATGTTCTGTGGTCGTTACTTTTGAATGTTCTATGGTTGTTACTTTTGAATGTTCTATGGTTGTTACTTTTGAATGTTATAAACACATTTTAAGATTTGTAAACACTCTATAAGGAAGCGTATAGGCAGATAAGCGTGCGGGAGTGTTGTGGAGAGAGAGGATCTGTTCGTCACTTGTCCTCCTCTGGTTGGGTCTTCATCTCCAGGATTCTCATGAATGTGCTTGAACCTCCATTGCCCTGCTTGAATCAAAGGCTGAGTGGGAGTCCTTTATTTCTCAGACTTCCTTTCTTTCAGAAGAACAATGAATGTTCACCGAGGAACCAAACGCAGTTGCGTTCCCCTCACTCGCTCGCTTCTACAGGACCACACACTTCACGAGACTAAACTCAGTTTCATCTTCGATGTTTGAAGTTAAAACACGCAATAATAATAATCAATGACGGCTCATTTCCTTTTCATTTATAATCGTTTCCTTTTTGATTAACAGGTTAATGCAGGATGACATCGTTTAATCTCCAGATGACGGGGAACGTTCTGGCAAGGTTTTCTCAACGTTATTCAAATATTCTTTCCCAATACATCAATAATGGAACTTTTTTCTGAAATAATTTTGTTCGTGTGACGTTTTTTTTAAAATGTTACTACTTGTTTCAGAGAACGTTCTAAAGTAGGCTAACATTTATAAAACATTCTAAAGTAACGTTCCCATGTTTGAAGAATGGAATGTTCCCTTAAAGTTCATATAACCGTCTTTGCCACATTTAAAACCCTGACGTTGAAGTTCCAAAGGAACTTTCAGAAATAACGGTTTAGAACACACGCGTGTCAGCTGGTAATATAAATCTAGAACACGCATCATTCTTCAAACATTGCTAAACATTGTTTCTATTGTTAGTAAAAGGAACATTCAAAAAATGCAAAAGCACTGGGCTTTTTATCATATTTTTTTAGCATTGGATTTTTATTTGTTCATTGGATTTTTTTTTTTTTTTGAATAAAAGCGAAACTGCAAATTATTGTTCAAATAGAAAAGATGCCAGACAGAGAATAAAAGTCTAAATTGATTCGTGTAATGTGTATTAAAGGTTGATATTCGCAGGTGAAGTTTTGGGGCATCCGAGGTCCCGCCCCCTCCCTCCCCTCCTCACGAGCACCGGATAAAACCGGGAGTCGCTCGCATACACACACATATACACACGCACGAACGGACACTCAGCTCGCGACACCCGAGCTCAGTCTGAGGAGGACGCGCACTAACGGACCGCTAAAAAGAGTTTTATATAGACCTATAACCGTGTTGACTTGCGTTTTGGTGAAGGAAAGGGAAAGTTCGGTGAATCCCGAGGGATGGAGTTGCTGCGCGTGCTGTGGATTCTGGGATGCGCGTGCATGCCTTCGGTTCAGGGCTCGCGCCTGAAGACGCCCGCGTTACCGATCCAGCCCGAGCGCGAACCCGTCATGTCTAAAGGCTTGTCCGGTAAGAGAGAAGAGTGAAAATTCTGTAATAATATATATATATTATATATTTTTATATATTTCACTTTACTTAAAAATATATTTTAGGTATATTTTTAACTGTGCTGAAAATTATTATTGCAAAAATGCATTTAAAGTGTACTTTCAAAACACATTATAACGTACAATATAGTATAGCTAAGTAATATTTGGGTTCTGGACTTCATGTTTCCGTGTGGCTCTTCAGATCTTTAAAGCACCAGTGCAGTGATGCTTTATTAAAGGACTAAACCAGCAGTGAAACCATTTCAGAATCTTTCATTCCAGTTATATTGAGGAAAATGTTCTTGTGATTTTGAAATGGTGGATTGTGTAGCACAGTCCTGGTTATGTGACTTAAAGAGGAACCTTCCATTTTGCAAACATTAGAAAACATTCAAAAGTAACAAGTTTAGAACAATTTCATACAGCATGAATGATGTATAAATAACGTTTTGAGAACAAAAGCCTCCACAAATAACCTTATTCTCCACAGAAAGCCATCAATGCATCTGGTGTTTTAGAGAACTCGAGCCCAGAACATGTTAATAATGATCACTTTCCACAGTCTTCGTTTATCTCCGTAGAGCTCGGGACAGTTTACGTGTGTGTCTTTGAAAGTGTTTAGCTTAACAATAAATTGTTTAATAGTCTGGCTCTGTAAACGGACCTCATTCCAGATGCATTAAACACCACATTTACTCCAATCTCTCATTCTCTCTTCAAAACAAAGCGGAGGACATGTTTGGGTTCCAGCGCTGGTTTGGTTGGGAAGGAAAGAAATCGCGTTCACTGCTCGTTTTAGCTGGTGTTTTTGAAGGTTTGGCTCAGAAACGGCCATTTGAAGCTGATTTAGACACATTCCCGATGCTCACACACACACACACACACACACACACACACACTGTCTCACGCTGCTCTTGTTTATTGTCTCATCAGGTTGCTCCTTCGGTGGCCGCTTTTATTCCCTGGAAGACACGTGGCATCCAGACCTCGGAGAACCCTTCGGTGTAATGCACTGCGTCATGTGTCACTGTGAGCCGGTGAGCATCACACACACACACACACACACACACACACACACACACACACACACACACACACACACACACACACACACAGTAACATTCAGAGAACATTCTAAAGTAACGTTCAGAGAACATTCAAAAGTAACGTTCAGAGAACATTCAAAAGTAACGTTCAGAGAACATTCAAAAGTAACGTTCAGAGAACATTCTAAAGTAACGTTCAGAGAACATTCTAAAGTAACGTTCAGAGAACATTCTAAAGTAACGTTCAGAGAACATTCTAAAGTAACGTTCAGAGAACATTCTAAAGTAGCATTCAAAGAACATTCTAAAGTAACGTTCAGAGAACATTCTAAAGTAACGTTCAGAGAACATTCTAAAGTAATGTTCAGAGAACATTCTAAAGTAACATTCAGAGAACATTCTAAAGTAACATTCAGAGAACATTCTAAAGTAACATTCAGAGAACATTCTAAAGTAACGTTCAGAGAACATTCTAAAGTAACGTTCAGAGAACATTCTAAAGTAACATTCAGAGAACATTCAAAAGTAACGTTCAAAGAACATTCAAAAGTAACATTCAGAGAACATTCTAAAGTAACGTTCAGAGAACATTCTAAAGTAGCATTCAGAGAACATTCTAAAGTAACATTCAGAGAACATTCTAAAGTAACATTCAGAGAACATTCTAAAGTAACGTTCAGAGAACATTCTAAAGTAACGTTCAGAGAACATTCTAAAGTAACGTTCAGAGAACATTCAAAAGTAACGTTCAAAGAACATTCTAAAGTAACATTCAAAGAACATTCTAAAGTAACGTTCAGAGAACATTCTAAAGTAACATTCAGAGAACATTCTAAAGTAACGTTCAGAGAACATTCTAAAGTAACATTCAGAGAACATTCTAAAGTAACATTCAAAGAACATTCTAAAGTAACGTTCAGAGAACATTCTAAAGTAACATTCAGAGAACATTCTAAAGTAACGTTCAGAGAACATTCTAAAGTAACATTCAGAGAACATTCAAAAGTAACATTCAGAGAACATTCTAAAGAAACATTCAGAGAACATTCAAAAGTAACGTTCAGAGAACATTCAAAAGTAACGTTCAGAAAACATTCAAAAGAAACATTCAAAGAACATTCAAAATTAACGTTCAGAGAACATTCTAAAGTAACGTTCAGAGAACATTCTAAAGTAACATTCAAAGAACATTCTAAAGTAACATTCAGAGAACATTCTAAAGTAACATTCAGAGAACATTCTAAAGTAACATTCAAAGAACATTCTAAAGTAACATTCAGAGAACATTCTAAAGTAACGTTCAGAGAACAGTAAGAAATAACGATTTCATAACTTAAAGGGGAACGCTATGCAAGTGTTTTGTTACAGCTGAAAATGAACTGCTGAATTCTGCAACACTGTTGTTTTCCTGTTTATAACAACGAAGCAGCTTTGAAACAGTCTGCCGTTGTACGAAGTGCTCTATATAAACTCTCTCTCTCTCTCTCTCTCTCGTAGCAGAGGAGTCGGAGAGGGAAGGTCTTTGGGAAGGTGAGCTGCAGGAATATGAAGCAGGATTGTCCCGAACCGACCTGTGACGATCCAGTGCTGACTCCAGGACACTGCTGCAAAACATGTCCGAAAGGTACAAAAGGAGTGTGTGTGTTTTTCTGTGGATAAATGGAAACACACTGCGCTGGTGTATAAAGAAGTGATGGAAAGCTTGAACGTGTGTGTGGACGGTCCCGAGCTCCTCATGTTTATGGATGCCGCTCTGGAACATTGACTCTGTTGTTGTTTGTTGGTGACATCATGCACTTTGGTTTCCACGGTTACAGGCGACACATCAAGGAAGGAGGTGGAGTCTTTGTTCGAGTTCTTTCAGGATAAAGACGACGACCTGCACAAGTCGTACAACGACAGATCCTACGTCAGCTCTGAAGAGAACAGTCATCGAGACAGCGCGACCGGTCAGACTACACAACACAAAATAAAATCTTTTTTTTTGTTAATGAAAAAAATGCTTTGCTTCATCTTTTTTATTATTATTTTATTTTTATTTAATTGTTTTACTTTATTTTTATTTCATTATTCATAAAAAATATATTCTGAAATTTTCTTATTTATTTTGCTTTATTTTTGTATTATTATTATCATTATTTTATTTTCTGCTTTCTTTAAGTGTGTTTTGTTTTATTCTTCAGATTTCGTGTCTCTGCTGACGAGTGCGTCGGACTCTTGGTTGCCCAGTTCCAGTGGAGTCGCTCGGGCTCGATTCACTCTCTCCCGCGCCAGCCTGACCTTCTCCATCACCTTCCAGAGGTAAAACACACACCACAGCCCATGTGTGTGCCTCTTGTCCGCCCTCGCTCTCTGTGTGCATGTGTGTGTGTGTCCTGCCCGCCTTTGCTTACTCTGTGTGTGTGTGTGTGTTTCAGGATCAACAGGCCGAGTGCAATCACCTTTTTGGACTTGGACGGAAACACTGCGTTTGAGTTCAGAGTCCCGAGGGCCGACACAGACATGGTGAGTCAGCTTCATTAGTCAAGTCACTTTCATTTTCACTTTCTTTTCAAGTGCACATGCATAATACGTGTGTGAGAAAGTGTGTGTGTGATCTGTGGAGTCTGATGTTTAACTGTGTGTTTGTGATGTGCAGATCTGTGGAGTTTGGAAGAATCTACCGAAGTCTCAGATTCGACAACTGGAGGCGGAGCAACTGCGTGTTTCCATGACAACTGCTGACAACAAGAAGGAGGAGCTACGGGGGAAAATCATCAAACACAGAGGACTGTTTGCCGGTGTGTGTGATGTTTCACTGTTTAAATGTTTAGATCCACTTCAGACATGACCTATCTGATTGTTTTTTTGGATGCTTACGTTCATTTGCGTTCGGTTTGTGTGACAGAAACGTTCAGTGCGATCTTGACGTCTGAAGAGGTGCATTCTGGGATGGGCGGAATCGCTATGTTGACGCTCAGTGACACCGAGAACAATCTGCATTTTATCCTGATTCAGCAGGGACTCGTTTCTCAAGGGAGCTGTAAGTACACATGGAGGAAATCCACATGGAGGAAATCCACATCCACAAGTACACATGGAGGAAATATATATATATATATATATATAATTAAAATAAACCATAAAATAAAATAGAAATAAAAGAAAAGAATCAAAATAAAATAAAAAAATAAATTAAAAAATAAATTAAATTAGATTTGAAAAAAGGAAAATAAAAATAAATAATAAATAAATAATTAAACATATAAAGCATTAAATAAAAACAAACAAAAATAAAATAAAGCAAAATAAAAATAAAGTAAATAAGAAAAATAATAATAATATAAATAAAAGAAAAATAACAAAACAAAAGAAAAAATAAAAGAAAGTAAATTTCAGATTAAAATAATATATAAAAACAAAAATAAAGCAAAAATAAATAAAAAGTAACAAAGTAGATAAAAATAAAACAATTAAAGAAATATTTTCAAAATATTAATTTAATAAAAACTGTATTTCACATTGTTTCAGCCTCCGCACAGATGCCGGTGAGAGTGAAACTGCTGTACCGACAACATGTGCTGAGAGAAATACGAGCAAACATCTCTACAGACGTGAGTGAGAACACACACACACACACATTCACTGATCTAAAGGAGAACAAGCCATTTATTTACAATGCTTTTATAATCAGTTAATTAGAATGAAAAGAAAACATTATTCACGTTTGATAATATTGAAAATACTTGGTTAAAGTTGATGAATATTAAGGAAACGTGTGTGTGTGTGTGTGTGTGTGTAGGACTCTGACCTGGCTGAAGTCCTAGCGGATCTGAACAGTCGGGAACTCTTCTGGTTATCCCGTGGGCAGCTCCAGATCGCCATGGAAACGGAAGGCCAAAATCCCCGTCAGATCTCCGGATACATTTCTGGGAAGAGATCATGTGACAGTGAGTGCAGCCAATCAGCATTACCTTTTTCATGACCTTTTCGATCTTTGAAGGGTAAAGTTCGAACATTCAAACTCATTTCCTCCTTACATTCATATTCTGCTCAAATTTATGGAAGCATTAGTAATGCACTGTGAGCTAACATGAACACAATGAACAGCTGGATTATTATTAACTAACATTTACAAAGATTAACTAATGCAGTAACACACGTATTTCTCATTGTTAGTTCATGTTAGTTAATACATTAATTAATGTTAACTAATGCACATTATTCTAAAGTGTTTCCACTTTCTACAAAAAATAATTCGAAAATATTATTTTTTTCTTGTCATATTGTGTATAATGAATAGATTGAGGAATACTAGCGCAGTGAACGACGTCGAAGGGTTAATCGTGCAGTA